TTACGCCTGAACAATGGCAAACCCATTTGCTTAAATTACACTTTGTTTTTGAAGAAGTGTACAGAAAGGGGGAAAGATATTTTTTAAAAAACATTAATAACATCGTAACTTCGCATTCATTTTAGAAAGTCATTCTATAGAAAAGACGCCCAAAATTTAAACATAAAAGCACAAGACTATTTATCATCAATGCTGTTATAATAGTGAAAATTACAAATAAACTAAATGTCTATAGATGGAAAGTGTTTAAGTAAATCATGCGTGGTATATCATTCAAAGGAATAATAATTAGAGTTGTACAAAAGTGCGGTGAGCCAGGCGCAGTGGCTCCCACGCCTGTAATCCTAGCAGTCTGGGAGGCCGAGGTGGGCGGATTGCTAGAGGTCAGGAGTTTGAAACCAGCCTGAGCAAGAGCGAGACCCTGTCTCTACTGTAAATAGAAAGAAATTAATTTGGCAACTAAGATATATATAGAAAAATTAGCCAGGGCAGATGGTGCATGCCTGTAATCCCAGGTACTCGGGGAGGCTGAGGGCAGCAGGTTTGCTTGACCAGGAGTTTGAGGTTGCTATGAGCTAGGCTGATGCCACGGCATTTACTCCAGCCTGGGCAACAGAGTGAGACTCTGTCTCAAAAAAAAAAAAAAAAAAAAAAAGTGCGGTGAATCTATAAATACTGAAGTAGAAAGAATTCTAGATAAATTATTAAGAGAAAAACTGCATATGTAGTTTAATCTTACTTCTGTATACACATATACACGTATATACACACATATGAAAATTTCCCATGCATTGGCTAACACACACATGTATACATACACAGATATGTTAGCCAATGCATGGGGAAAGAATATAGCATAATGTACAACAAAGTATTAATAGTAGATGTTTTTTTTTTTGCATTGGCCGGGCTGCGGGTGGCTCACGCCGTAATCCTAGCACTCATGGGAGGCCGAGGCGGTGCGAGTTGCTCAGTCAGGAGTTCAAAACGCCTGGAGGCGAAGACCCGCGTCTCTACATAAAAATAGAAAGAAATTAATTGGACCAACTAATATATAATATATAAAAATCAGCCGGGCATGGTGGCGTCGTGCCTGTAGTCCAGCTACTCGGGAGGCTGAGGCGGAGGACGCTTGAGCCCAGGAGTTTGAGGGTTGCTGTGAGCTAGGATGACGCCACGGCATCACTCTAGCCTGGGCAGAAGCGAGACCTGTCTCAAAAAAAAAAAAAAAAAATAGTAGATGTTTTTGAGTCATGACAATATGGACAGCATTCAATCTCTGTGCACACTACTTCGTAATGGTTACTTTTTGTTTTAGTAAGTATTTCTTTTGTAAGCTAAAAAACAAAGCAAAACAAAAATTTTAATGTAGAAATAAAAAATACAAATAATATTGTATTTTATCTTTAAACAAAATTATAACTATATTTTAATACAAGACAAAAAGTGAGATTTAGAGTGGGTGACATGTTAAGGACAAAGAGTGAAGAATGAGGACAAAGAAACAAATGACAAAGAAGGTAAGAGAGACTTTAGACCTTATATTTGGGTGGAAATAGACTGTTTTATCTGTATAAAGCTACATTTTAGCATTTAAGAAGAAATCAAACAATACAAAATCAGGAATCTAAGAAACCATAAATCACAAAAGAGAAAGTATAGCTGCCTGAGTGAAAGAAAATGAGGAAATTATACAGAAAAGGGAGGTAAAGGATTAGAATAGAGAAAATGGCAATCAAAAGTATCTGAAGTCCTTACAGAGCTGAAGTGAGGGTAGAATCTGTGCACAGGAATGAGAGTGAAGGGGAATAAACATAATCCTGATGAACCTTTGTTTTGCCTTTTTAAAACTTATAACAATAAGTCAAACTGCTTGCCCTTCCAGTTGTCCAGTGAAAAACACCTAGGAGGATGTAAATTATATTTTTACTCAAGAAGAATATATAGTTATTATAGCTTAGATAGCCTTAAATAATTCATTTATTAACTCACATCTGAGAAAAGTCCAAATTGTTTTAGAATTTCCATTTATATAAAAATTTCTCAAGAAACCAACAGGGTCAATATATATATATATATTTTTTTTTTTTTTGAGACACAGTCTCACTCTGTTGTCCAGCCTAGAGTGCTGTGGCGTAAGCTTAGCTCACAGCAACCTCAAACTCCTGGACTCAAGCAATCCTACTGCCTCAGCTTCCCAAGTTGCTGGGACTACAGGCACGTACCACCATGCCTGGCTAATTTTTTATATATATATTTTTAGTTGTCCAGCTAATTTCTTTCTATTTTTTAAGGAGAGACGGTCTCACTCTTGCTCAGGTTGGTCTCAAACTCCTGACCTTGAGTGATCCACCCGCCTCAGCCTCCCAGAATGCTAGGATTACAGGCATAAGCCACCATGCCCAGCCAGGCTCAGTATATTATATATACTAAACCCTAATTTTGGGGGGGAAGGCAGGGCAAAAATAAATAAATAAATAATTAATCCTAATTTTTATTTATTCAACAGATTTATTCAAGGTATAATTATAAAGCACCTGTTATGTACCCCCTAGGAACTCATGCTACAAAATCTCCAAAACACTGCTGCATATGTTATATTGAACTTGATCTTATATGTATTATTCTCCTTATTCTATAGATGAGGAAGTGATTTGCCCAAAACTAGGAATTAGAAAAATTAGGTTATAACAAAATTTTATTAGTCTCTTTCTGGTATTTTGAACTAAATATGATGCCTCTTACAATAAAATTGAAATTTCTAGATAATCTTTCAAAACCAAACTAATTTCTTATATCTTTGGACTTACCAGGAAGTACCATAAATATTGAAAATGGAATAACAACATTTTAAGCATGTTTCAGTGAGTTTAGAATGTAATTAATTCTATTTTATTCATAATATTCTTATCATGTACTACTATAACCATGACACAATATGTTTCTAAAGGAAAATATTGGAATGATAAAGATTTATAATGATTTTTAAAATTTTAAAGAATATCTGGCTAGAAAACAGATCAGAAAATCAACAGTTTAGTTGTAATTATTTCCTTTACTAGTCATATGGATAACTCTGGATGAAATGAAACTTAATTTCTGAAGTTTCTTTATTTTTCATTTATTTATTTATTTATTTTTTTGATACAGGGTCTCCCTCTGTTGCCTGGGCTAGAGTGCAGTGGTGTCATCATAGCTCACTGCAACCTCAAACTCATCGGTCTCTGATCCTCTGTCTCAGCCTCCCAAGTAGCTGAGACTATAGGCCCAAGCTACCATGCATGGCTACTTATTTATTTATGACCAATTTTTAAAATATTTTTTTGCTCAGGCTGGTCTTAGACTCCTGGCCTCAAGTGATCTTCCCAAAGTGTTGGGATTACAGGCATGAGGCACCACACCCAGCCCAAACTTTTTCTTTTTCAAGAAAAAAATTAACTTTTCTCATTTCTTAGCATTGACCACACAGAATGATTTGAGCAGAGTTTACATTCAACGAAAGAATATGAATAAGTACATTTTTAGTTTAATATGTTAGAGTATTAGAAAAAACACTTCTATTTATAGAATATTTTCAGTCTGGGTTGCATTCTAGTACATTACATTAAAAAAATTCACAATCTGCAAGACACTCTATTTCTTAGATTTCTTTTGTAACATAAATGTATATGCCACTCAAAGTCTCATCTGCAATCTAGAATAAATGTGAAATCTACATTTTTTCTGAGTTCTTACTGCATGGTAAAAAGCGTAACATTTGAATTATGATGGGAGAAAAGAAAGCTTGTCTTGTTCAATTACTGCATTTTATCACAGCTAGCAATAGAAATGCTTTGGTTTTTTTTTCTTTTTTCTCGGCTGCCAGGCTGGTTCTTCTTGTTGTTTTGTCATCATTTTGAGCCATTTTACTGCACCTCGACAGCTCGCCTTGCGCGGTTCAAGCCGGGGGAATCGTTTTTTCGTCTCCTGCCTGCAGGTCCTCTGAGGTAGGCATGGACTTCAGGGTACGACGCCCTACCGGGGGATACCGCGGGCGGAGGGGGGGGCGACTTCAGGGTACGGTACACGCTGACCATAACCAGCTAATTTTCTTTAGTGTTTTCTCGGATAGAGATGCGCAGCTCTCGCGGCGGCTATGTTGCTTCAGGTGCGGTCTCAAGCTCCTGGCCGTCAGCGAGGGCCTCGCCACCTCAGCCTCTCAAAGTGCCAGGATTATAGGCATGAGCCACTGTGCCTGACCTATAAGTGTATTTTTTTTAAGGCAGTTTGAGTGTTGACGTACATTATGCCACCGATGCGAATTACAAAAAAAACCAAAATCACACACAGCGTATACCAAACGGAGTTATTTACGGATACCCTTCTCAGTTTTGATGGCACTGAACACTAGCAGGTCACAGTTTCCTAGCTAATAATGCACGTCGATGACAGGTACAATGTAAGCAAGGAAGGAGGTTACTAGAGTGAAGCCATGTGGAACTTTAAAAGGGATCAACTCCTGTAATGCCTAGCACTGTGGGCAGTGCCAAGGCGGCTGTGGATTGGCTCAAGGTCGGACGTTCGAGACCAGCCGCTGAAACAAGGCGAGACCCCGTCTCTACTAAATAGGAAGGAAATAACGTAACTGGGGCTAACTAAAGAAAAACAGCAGTGAGGTAGGGTAGTGTATATATGTAAATTAGCCCAGGAGGCATGGTGCGACATGTGCGCTTATGGGGAGTCCCAGGCTACTCAGGGAGGCCTGGGCAGGCAGATCGCTTGAGCCCCAGGAGTTTGGACGTTGCTGTGAAGCTAAGCTGACGCCATCGGAACTCTAGCCCGGGCCACAGAAGTGAGACTCTGTCTTAAAAAAAAAAAAGGATCAACCTTATGCTGTATAAACAATAGTACTATGAAATTATATGTATTCCCAGGGGTAGAGGGAATGAAGAGTTATTGCTTAATGGTTTTAAGAGTTTTCTACTTTGGTTGGGTGATAGAAAAGTCTTTGCTAACGGTGGTTATCTATAGTGGGTTATGGTTTGTATTTATAAATGTATTCAGTGCCACAGAGTTGTATACTTAAAAATGGTAAAAGTTATTAAGCCAGTCTGTTGCAAAACAACAACAAAAAAAACAAACAATGTAAAGTGGACAAGGTGTAGGGGTATATATATAGCAATATATATAAGTGTATTAACTGGGTGGTATATATAGTAAATATAGGTAATAATATAATTTAGTGACTGTATTATATCTGATGAATAGAATATACCGCGTTATTGTATTATGATAGATAACGAGGCTACATTATATGAAATAGCTAATAATTGATAATGATAAATATAATTTATATATATATTATTAATTATATATTTGTGTATATATATAAAATATATATATAATTTGTCAGTTATATATATTATATATATTATCACAATAAAAAAAGCAAGCAAGAATTAAAACTATAAGTATTCTTACTTAGCACAGCTGGAATATCTAGAAGATGTTTAGTAAGATTTAATAAGATTTAGTCCTAAATAATATCTTAGTGTCTGCTTTTTAAATACTCTAAATAATTCTATCTTATTTATAAGATTTCTATAGGTAAAAACATTAAGTGACTCAATATTAAAACAATGAAATTACTTGCCTAATTGCCTTTCTTTTTTCTTGCTGATCGGAAGAGACATATACCTTCATCTCATCAATAGCACGACGAAGTTGAACTTCTAGGTTCTGAATGGAAAGACTTAAGTTTTAAGGAAGTATTTGATACAGAAAAATCTCAGAAAAATTTTTGATCCACTTTGTCTTACCTTAATCATACAATTTGTATAATGGTATCTACTTTCTTCTTGAAGACATTCTTCACGAAGTCCTCTAACTTCCTATAATATATAATTTTAAATGAATAATATTATTGAAAGATTAAGACAGATGCAGAGAGAATGACCTTTAATGTACATCAGAGTCATTTCCTCTTCTGTAATTTTAACCTTGTTTTACTCTGGCAGATAGGTTATAATCTTTTCCAGAGAATACTCATATTACCCTAAAGCCTGCAGATTTAATTATCTATTTATTAAATACCTACCGTGTGCCAGCACCGTCCTCAGTGTTGGGGACATAATAGTGGACAGGTCTCTACTCTCATTCAATTAGAGTAAACAGACATAAACAAATAATGAAGGTTATTTTAGATGGGCATAAGTGCAATGAAGAAAATTCAGCATAATATGATAGAGAGACTGGGTGGGCCAGGTTGGGGAAGAGAATGGAGAAACATGAGATATGGTGATCAGGGAAGACCTCAAAAAGGTGGTGACATTAAGGCTGAGATCTGAATGATGAAAAAGAGAAGGCAAGGCAAACAGTTAGGGGCAGAGTGTCCCAGGCTGAGGGAAGAATATCTGCAAATGCCTGGAAGTGAAAACAAGCTGGGTCTGTTTGAAGTTCAGGAAGAAGGTCAGTATGGCTGGGATGAGGAGTGGAACACATGAATATGAAGTTAACGAGGCAGGTGGGGCCTTTAGACCATAAGTTGGAGGTTAGATTTTTATTTTAAGTGCAATGCTGCTCTATGGAGAATAAACTTAGGGAGGGCAAGAGTAGAAGCAGGAGAGCAGGGAGAAGGTTACTATGGAAGTCCAGGCAAGAGATGATGGGACTTGGACTTTGGCAGTAGTGATATGGATGGAAAATTCAGTGTGTATACATTAAGTTTCAAGAGATAAAGATCTCTGGAGCTTAGGAGACAGGTTTGGGAGATGATAATAAAGATTTAGGAAACTTCTGATGCTAGTGTAGTGAAAATGTATATACATATGCCGCTTTTGCTAATTTTTTTTTTTTTTTTTTGAGACAGGGTCTCACTATTTCATCCTGGCTAGAGTACAGTGGCATCATCAGAGCTCACTGCAACCTCAAACTTTTGGGCTCGAGTGATGCTCCTGCCTCAGATTCCCAAGCAGCTGGGACTACAGGCATGCATCACCATGCTTAGCTAATTTTTTAATTTTTGTAGAGACAGGGTCTTGCTCTTGATCAGGCTGGTCTCAAACTGTTGACCTCAAGTGATCCTCCCGCCTCAGTCTCCCAGAGTGCTAGGATTACAGGCATGAGCCACCACACCCAGCTGCTAAATTGTCAAAATAAAAACTTCCTTCTTACCTGTTCTAATTTGGATCGATTGCTTTCGAGGCCCGCTGCACAGCTATCATACTGGGATTTCTTTTCATCACACTCCTGGGTTAATTCCTAGCATGAAAAGGGCAAATGACAGAATAAGTGAAAAACAAAGGCCTAAAGTGTGGCTCTGAAACAATGCACGCCCTCGTCAGACTTGTAACTTAACTCTAAGCTTCTTGGCATACTTAAGAGTTATTTATACAACAATCAGACATTTGAGAATTATGACAGATGAAGGTGCTGATAATAATAATAGCTACCATGTATTGAACTGTGTGCCAGCCTCTTTGTTAGGAGCTGGGGATACAGCAGTAAACAAAACAGCCAAAAATTCTTCTCCTCAAGTAACATTCAGATAGGTAAACAGGCTACTGAGAGCTATTACGGGCAAACGCAAGGTGTTATAGGAACACATAGGACTCTCATGAACGTAACCCAGGCTTGGGGATCAGTGAGGACAACTTCCTGGAGAAATTGATATCTAAGGCTAAGCATGAAAGATTAGTAAGAATAAGAATAGTTAGGGGAAAGGTGAACAAAGGAAGAGAGTGGGAACACCATGTAAAAAGGATTGGAAGCTAGAAAGAACAATTAAGATTTGCTCTGATTTGGCTTAAAAAAAAAAAGAGAAGAAGAAAGAAGAAAGAAGAAGAAGAAGAAAAAGAACAATTAAGGAACTTACAAGTAGTTTATTATGCTGCAGTATGTCTGGGAAGTGGTGAGAGAGACAGCTGAAGGCTTAGGCAGAGGCCTAATAAGAACAACTCATAAACCATACTAGGATGTTTGAACTAGACCCTTGACAATAACTAAATCTCACAACAGCCCCTTGAAGGAGGTATTAATGATCCCATATAATGCTTTGAGAAAGTTCAAGGAGGCCAAGTACCTTGTCAAAGATGATTCTGCTGGAAAAGGGCAGAGTCAGAATCTGAGTTCAGGCTGTTTACGTACTAACATACTAACTTCTAATGTAATGTTTTAAATGAGATAATCTGAAAATCTCTTGCTACAAACAGCTAGAAATGCTAAAAGTACAGTCACGCGCCACACAATGACATTTTGGTTAACGACAGACTGCATATATGATGGTGATCCCGTATGATTAAAATAGAGCTGAGGCCAGGTATGGTGGCTCACGCCTGTAATTCTAGCACTCTGGGAGGCCGAGGCGGGCAGACTGCTCGAGGTCAGGAGTTCAAAACCAGCCTGAGCGAGACCCCGTCTCTACTAAAAATAGAAATAAATTAATTGACCAACTAAAAATATACATACAAAAAATAAGCCGGGCATGGTGGCACATGCCTGTAGTCCCAGCTACTC